CATCGGGCTCCCTGTTCGGCGGGAAGCCTGCTTCTCCCTCTCCTACTCCCCCTGCTTGTGTTCCTTCTCTCACTGTGTCTCTCTCTGTCAAATAAATAAATAAAATCCTAAAAAAAAAAAAAAAGAAACTTGACTTCATCAAATATAAAACTTCTTCCAGAAGAGAACAAATAGGCAAGCCGCGGACTGGCAGAAAGTCTTCCCAAAATATATACCTGCAAAGGATTTGTATCCAGACTCCTATGGCTTAATAACAAAAAGTCAAACCCAGTAAAAATTGGGCAGAAGACTCGAACGGACACTTCAAGACGGAAGATAGACAAATGGTAACTAAGTGGGACAACACTCAATGTGATTAGTCATTGGGCAAATGCGAGTTAGAATCACAGTGAGATAAGCCCCAGAATAGTTCGAATGAAAGAGACTGACAACATCAACCATGAGCCAGGACGTGGAACAGATGGAACGCTCCTACATTGCTGGTAGGAATGCAAAATGATAGAATCACTTTGGGGAAAGGTCTGGCAGTTTCTAATAAAGTTAACCATGCCTCCATCCTTTGATCCAGCTGTTCCCTTCCTAAGTATTTACATAAGGGAAATGTAAACATATAGTCACAAAAAGACTCCAACATAAAGGTTTACAGCCACTTGATTCATAATGGCCCCCAAACTGGAAACAATCCAAATTTCCACCAACGGGAGAATGGATGTAGAATCTATACAATAGAATGGGTACAGCGCTAAAAGAGAAATGACTGGTACGCACGACACGGATGACTCTCACAGACATTATGCTGAGTGAAAGAACTCAGACACAAAAGAGTGCATGCCCTACGATTCAATTTATATGAAATTCTAGAAGTAAAACTAATCTGCAGTGAAAAATCAGAACAATTGTCGCCTGGTTAGCGGGATTGTCTGACAAAGGACAGTTTTAGAGTGATGGAAACATTCTTTGTCTTGATAGGGCTGTGAGTTACATGGGTGTGTCTCTTGGTCAAGATACCTTGTTAAGACTTTGTGTATTTCCACATATGTAAATTTTATTTTAAAAAGGACCACAAAAGAGAAGTGGGGAGGGGATGGAGAGTGGGTGGAGATCTAAATGGAAACAGAATGGCAGAATGGTAAAGAATTGTTGAAGCTGGGTGATGGGTGTAAGGGGATTTATCATATAATTCTGTTTACTTTGTATGTATTTGAAGTTTTGCGTCATAAAAAGTTTAAAAAACCAGAATGGCCACCAGGTGTCTCTCTACACTTGTCAAATGGAGCTAGATCAAGCACCTGCTAAGGATGAGAACAATGCGTGTAGATCAAAGAATATTTTAGTGATTCCGAATAGCCCCATCTTAAAGTGTGTGTATAAGAGACGTGGTATAGCATCGTGATTAGGCACAAGGACTCTGGAACATGAGCCCGCCTGGAGTTTAAATCCCGCCTCTGTTGCTTCCTGGTGGTACAACCTTGGGAAAGTCTACCTCTCCAAGACCCTCTGTTTCATGCCTATAAAATGGAAACATAATTGTACCTACTTCACAGGGTTGTTGGTTTGAACAGACCATGGAAAGCACTTGGAACAGCGCCAGACACAATGTCAGCTCTGTGAGTCCTCGCTTCTATCCTCATTAGTATTGCTAATACGATTATTAGAAACAAGAAAATAAAGCGAAAAAATGTGCTGGCTAGTAGTTGGCAAGCCCCTATTGAATGGGGAGTGGAGTCTGAAATCATGTCTGGAGCTGTGCCCACAAATATCACCACAGACTGATCTCCGCAGGTGGTGGGTGCGGAAATTAAAAAGCTTTCTTATCCCAGTCCTAGAGGTAGGTGTGTGCTTGCCAGAGTGAGCTCTGCAGTCGGTACCTAGGGCTTTATGTGACTTGCAGCCCAAAAAGATTTGACAAAACCTTGGAAGATTAAGGGATGGGATAGTGATTTTAACTTGCAAGGGCCAAAGCACACTATCCACTTCAGACTGGACTTCTGTTTGCTACAACATTTCAATTCCTATTTCTGGGTTCCTTTTATCTAGTTCACTTCCAAATATCTTAAAAGGACGTGAGGAAACCAGAGGGTCCTAATATGACTGACAGGAACAGTCAAAGGGATGGATATTGGGGCAGAAAGGGATAGGGGAATAAAAAAATTCTAGTGGTTCAGTTTTGACCAAAAAGAAGAGGACTAAAAGATTTTATCACAAAGAGATTATTAAATCCAGAAGTGACCAAATAAGAGAGAAGAAATTCAAGAAAGAGATTTTTATGACACCTAAGAACGAACATCTTCGGGGTGATACAACTTTGTAGGGGATGCTGCTGGGCAAGCTTCCAGATCAGGGCTCACAGCCTGCTGCCTGCAGGGTCCTGGGCAAGGACTAGGACTGAGTCAAGCTGCTGGGTGGTGGGGATTCACTTAGACTAGGGAATGAATAGGCATCTAGGCTGTGTAGCCAAGGCTTGGCTCCACTAGGTGACACCAGGTACGAATGTATGGCCCGTGTTGCCGGGCCTTCCAATTATTCAAGAAAAGTCAGTAGTTTAGAATTTCTATGTGAAATCCTGTTGCACATATTTAGTCCGGTGGGACACTGGCCAAAAGCAAGCTAGCCACCCTTTGTCCCAAATGGTTTAGAT